CCAAAGAAAGGTGTGAATGAGGGCTTTCCAACGCAAAAAAGACAAGAGCGATACGACCGTCGGTTGGCGAGATATGACATGAACAAGTCACATGCAAATGGTTGCTGGAGGGATGGTGCTGTGACACGAGAACCGCTTGTCCGTTTGATGCGTATGAGGGCTTCCCAGAAGCGCATTGACCGTGGCTTCAAAATAAGCCTAAGAAGTGGCGCATTCCCACAACTGCTCCAGCTCTCCCTCTACCAAGAAATGCAGACTTCAACCATGCTTTGGTGAAGTCCGCAGTGCCCCCACCATTGTGAAGCGTTCACTCTGAACTTCTCGCATAGCTGAAGCCAAGAGGGAAGGAGGCAAGAATGGGTGGATCTGGGATCAACACCCATGAGTGAGCAATGAGCAGTTACAAGATACTCAGCTGGCCCAACATGATTATGCATACTGTAGAAAGTACAGATATACAAAGCACTACATGTAGTGCAAGAGGATGGCAAGACTGCTGACAAGATGGTGGTTCAAGACAAAAGATCAATATATTATGTAAGATATTCAAATCTTGCTATATACCATTGTTTGACTATGGCCTCTGGGCATTCCCTTCCAATCCTATATCACACTCATCACTACCGCAACCTCATCTACCACTGCCACAACCTCATCTGCCTCTTCCACGACCGCGTTGCCACCTGCAGCCGTCTCTGTTACCAACAAAACAGACGCTTTCGCAAACCCTCGAATCATGTCACAGATGAAGGCAACATTTACAGAGCAATATGCCGTGGAGCAGCATTTAGAGGAGAAGAAAAGGGCTGAGGATGCAGAGCGTTTGTCACACATTAAAAAGGCTAAGAACCATGTTATTGGGTACGGCTGGGCAACGGTATGTTGTCTCCTTGTACCTACGTACATCCACTGATTTGACTGGCTAGGACCATTTTGAACCCACTATCTCTGAATTTCAGGGTGGGTTTGTGTGGCCCCATTTCATCACCACCACTGATGTCCTTTCCGACTTGGACATACCCCTTGATGTGAACCCGTCTTCGACACACATCAAGCTTTACCATCATCAGGTCCACACTTGGACTAAGGTTTCTGTTGGCCATGTTGTCACCC